GCGGTGAAATTCACTTTCGCGGCCAAATGCAATGCTGTGTTTCCTTCCGCGGAACAACCTTCACTGGCAAGTGTTATGTCTTCAAAGCAAACCTGAATCTCCATGGTCTGGATTGGTTCGAACAATTGGGCTTGGCTGATATCCCGATCAGTTCCGTCTGTAATGCCCTACACTTGCCGACTAAAGTTGGCGAAAATACCGCGGACATCATCAACCAGTTCACCACGGTTTTTCAACCTGAATCAGGACACTGTTCTACGACACAGGCCACTTTTCGCCTTATGCCGGACGCCAAACCGGTCTTTCGTCCAAAAAGACCAGTCCCATATGCATCGTTACCGCTGGTTGACGCTGAGTTAGAACGTCTTGAACACGAAGGCGTCCTTTGGAAAGGACGTCCCTTGTGTTTGGTCCAACGAGTGCGAGGCGGCCTTCTGTCAACTCAAATCAATGCTCAGTTCGGACCTGCTGCTGACCCATTATAATCCAGCCCTACCAATTGTTGTTGCAGCTGACGCCTCCGCCAAGGGCATCGGAGCCGTCATCCTCCACGTTTTCCCCGACGGCACAGAAAAGGCCATAATGCACGCATCCAGGTCGCTGACAACGACAGAACAGCGTTACGGACAGATTGAGAAAGAAGCTCTCGCTTTGGTTTTCGCTGTCCGCCGTTTCCACAACCTCATTTATGGCCGAAGATTCACTCTCCTGACAGACCATAAGCCGTTGCTAACAATCTTTAGATCTAAAACAGGCATCCCAGCTCACTCCACGAATCGTCTGCAAAGATGGGCACTTATTCTACTGGGCTATGATTTCGAAATCCAGTACCGTCGAACAGAGGATTTCGGGCAGGCCGACACCCTATCAAGGCTCATCAGTAACCAGCCCACTATCAAGGAAGATGCCGTCATTGCCGCCATCTACGTGGATGAAGATATCACTCAGCAAATATCCGAAACGGACAACACACTACGGCAGGTCATCCGTTACGTCCAAGGCAAATGGCTAAAACGCTCCCCCACTGGAGATCTTCAGCAATTGTTCCAGCGACGCGATTCCCTCTGCGTTATAGACGGCTGCCTGATGTTCGAAGAACGCGTTGTGGTGCCCAAATCATTGCGCTTGCGTGTTCTTT